TATTGTAATTTACTAAGACCTTTGTGCCACGAGTGTTTAAATACCCTAGGCTAGGTAGAGTCTGAGCCACTTCTAGGCCTCGATACAAGTGATGTGTCATCACGTAGCCTACCAGAACACAGGCAGAGAGACACGACATCATGGCTAGGCTTAGCTAGGCTGTATGTGTGGTGCATGCATATATGGTAACAAATTTAAGACAGGTCAACATGCATAACATGTAAAGCTGGAAAAAATTATTTTATTTAGCATAACTCTGTAAATATTAAACAATTTTTGTCATTTAAACAGTAGATTACTCATATCAATGTAATGTGTTTTTCGATAAATTAATGTAAAACTATATGTGAAATCAATTGAAGGATAATCCTTTTGTGTGCTCCTAGCTAGCCACGCCCCTTAGGCCCTCTAGTCTAGCCCAAGCCCTGGCTGGTTGGCAATTCTTTTGTTTCTCGCGCATGTTGCAACAACTCACACACGTGACACTCTTATTCTTAAAAAATAAAAGTATTATAAATTACAAGATAAATAATTCCAATTAAATTCACGTAATAGGCATAATGTAAGGTTAGGTAGGCAGATGCAAATACAAGTTAAACTATGTTTTAAATGAAATGGGCTAGAGGCTTATCGCGTGGTATAAACTACAACAATAGGCCAAATAATAGAAGATCGTGCACAGCACACCCCCACCACAGGTAGCAGCTACAACGCCATGATGACGATGTTCTTCAGAAATAGGCTACGCAATATATCAACGATCATAATGGTATTCGGAAATTATCAATAAAACATTTCTTAATCTTACCCTTCGTCTTCAGACATGGTGTATTGTGTCTTCTTCACTCGTTTGAGCTAAATTATATAGGCAAATAACTACTTCTTTATACTGCTACCAAATCATGTAATTCTGCAGAGACGAACCCAAGCGAAGAAAAGAATGGATTATGGGAAGGCGCGATTCCGCGAACAAGAGTTAGTTGCCAGATAGTGGACCAAATTCGGCCAAATTTTAATCGGTTGGCAAACGAATGTTGCGACAATCCAGAAAACCAGTCAAAAACTTTTTTCTACAGTGTACAGGCTTAGTAAAAATGTTTTGAATCGTGTTTCCATTGGAGCATTTTTTCACAGTAGGACCTAGTGGATGATGCACTCGATGGTGAAGCAACAGAAGCAGTGAGCAACTACATTAATTATTACTTTCTGTATGATTCATTTTAAAGAGAAGCTTTTAAAAAAAAGTCTACCTAAAATTCTAAATCTTGGCCATGAGTAAAGAAATAATTTATTGATTTATTTCTTGTTTAACAGAGTTAACAACTCAGTTGAAAACCAACTGTTATCCTTATGTGCCCAGGATACGATACACAAAACATAAAATCCTTCTGGCCTACTGTGGCTAGAGATACCGTACCGTATTTCTACTTCGTTTTGCTAAAGGTACGGTAAATGGCATTACGTCACCATCACCCAATGAAGTGCCAGAATGTGCGTGACGTCATCATTAATACATTATGCTAATTTTCATCTTTGTAAGCGCATAAGACAGTGCAAATTATTTCTGTGACAGTCTTTTGAAGTGTGTAAAGCTGCATTTTATCTCATACATAGTCAAAATATTGGGGGGGATGATACAATGGACCATCCCCCCCTGGTCAAATATTGGGGGGGATATATCCCCTCCATCCCCCCCGGGATCTACGCCTATGTTAACAGAGTTAACAACTCAGTTGAAAACCAACTGTTATCCTTATGTGCCCAGGATACGATACACAAAACATAAAATCCTTCTGGCCTACTGTGGCTAGAGATACCGTACCGTATTTCTACTTCGTTTTGCTAAAGGTACGGTAAATGGCATTACGTCACCATCACCCAATGAAGTGCCAGAATGTGCGTGACGTCATTTTTTGAAGACTGGCATGGCATTGCAGAAGAATTAGCTACTCCGCGTATTTGTATTAAAATCGATGAAACATTCGCCCTCCTACGGTTGCAGTAAAATTTGAACGTTTTACTAAGTGGAGAAACTAAAGGAAACAAGCGAACAAGAGCAGCGCCTTTATTATTTCTATATAGCGCCGCCGCGCGGTTGCAGTAAAATTGCTCTCAGTGTACCCACAATGCCTTTTGAACGGATGTTCCACTATATTGGGAAGCTGCTCTTTCTTCATATTAATGAGTTGGTTAGAAAATGCTACCAAGCAACTGAAAAAAGTGATCAGCCTCGTTTCCACCTGATTTTCCCGTCTCATCATATCATGTTTTGTTTCTCTAATTATCTTTACATCTCAACGTTTTGAATTTTTGAAGTATTTTTCCCGAACTCAGGAAAGCAATATATGGCCACTTGTCTCATCCCCTTTAAACTGATGATGCAAGCCGACCACTAGTACAATTCAAAGTATAATTTGAAATTGCCGAAACAGCTTTCAAACAGACCTATCTTAGAGGAAAGAGTTTCACCCAAATGTATATAACGACTGCTATAAACATGCCAAAGATTATATTTGGCCCGCGAGATCAAAAATAATTTTTGTCCTTCAAAAAAATTAAGAACCAGGTGTGTCAGGTAGGGTAAATAATCACTCCTATATTTTCTGAGGCAAACTCGCATCTTAATAGCATTTGCATTATTTTCCATTTGGCTAAATAATCTGGAGGTCTTGTGTTCGATTCCCACACTAACCATTTTTTTTTTAATTTTCCTATTGGCTAGTAATTAGGGATATCTAATTTGAATATTTTTATCTCTATTTTTTTATATCTATTTTTTAACATGATTTTTAAAAATAAATCGGACTTAAAACAATATTCATTTACACTAATTATTTTCAATATTTAATAACATAAAACATTTATTACTGTAATAACATTTACTTTGATTATTCAAGTTTTTCTTTACTTTTGACACCATGACCATGACTAATATTGACCTGCAACTGTATATATTCGAATCATGTTCTCAAGAGTTGACTGACTGGTACTTGGTGTGGTACTAGGTCAATGGCTTGGGGGTTGCGGTGCTTCCCCACTCCATTTAGTTTGAGCATGGTCAGCATTTATAATAATAGAGGTCGATTCCACCCGAATCATTTTTATTTTCTTTTTAAATTTTATTAATGGCTAGTATTTGGGGACGTACTGAGAATTTGGTACGATAACACGTCAGGTAGGGCAAATAATTACTCCTTTGATATTTCTCGACGTCGCAAACTCGCATCTTAAGTTGTAGTGGTTTTCATCTGGCTAGATAACCTGCGGGTCGTGGGTTCGATTCCCACCCCAACCATTTTTTTCCCTATTGGCTAGTAATTAGGGATATCTAATTTGAATATTTTTATAATCTATTTTTTAACGTGATTTTTAAAAATAAATCGGGACTTAAAACAATATTCATTTATACTAATTATTTTGAATATTTAATAACATAAAACATTATTAACATTTACTTTGTATATTTAAGTTTTTCTTTACTTTTGACACCATGACCATGAGTAATATTGACCTGCTACTGTATATATTCGAATCATGTTCTCAAGAGTTGACTGACTGGTACTTGGTGTGGTACTAGGTTAATGGCTTAGGGGTCACGGTGCTTCCCCACTCCATTTAGTTTGAGCATGGTCACAATAACGAGTTTCACAACCTGATGGAAATAGCTGCGCCAAACTGCCTATCTCATGATCAAATGAATTTCCTCCAATTATTTTTGAATTCGAATTTTTTTGTTATAGAGCAGTGTTGGGCATAGAATGGGGTTGAGGGTCTTTTACCTCAACACCGAGAACTGCATCTAAACTTCTAGAGTACTTGTAATAATCCTTTATGTACTTCTTTTGTAACAATTTACGCTTAGTTTTAACGTTAGTACAGTACTGTATTTATAGATATTGGTGCCACAGGCTGTTAAAAAGGCGTTTTTTGTAATGGTAGGTAGGATATTTGTAGAGTACCTTCCACAATAACATCGTTTTAAGGCGCTGACAGTATTCAGACCTTTAATATACTTTTGCCAGCCACAACAAAATTGCCGCCAGATCACATGTGGCCCATAGGTCACACTCTGCCCTCCTATGCTTTAGACTAAAGGTAAACCTGTACAACTTAATGGGGTTAAAAACTATCAGTCTTTATCATCATTGTGGCTTTCCTACCTCATGCAATGTATGACTGTTCAAGTCAATAGTAAACACTACTAATAAAATATTCCATTGCCCAAAATACATTTAACAGAATTTATTTGAAAACATTATCATCACATGCAACACAGAATTAATTTGCAGGAAACTGTCACAGAATAATAATACATAAGTTTGAAAAATGCAGGCTGAGTGTATATTGTACAATACTACTAGCAGACTAAAAAAAAATACCAACTGGCAAATAATCGTCCGGAAGACTATGCTATTTAAACACATGTCTAAAAACAGTAGATCAAAATAAACAGTATAGTATGAATATTGTACAATTCATAAAATGTTCAATTAGTCAATCAATGAATTATCATCCTTTCTTTGATAATCTTGTGCAAATATATTACAGTATATTTTTAGCGCACTGTTTTACAGAATGGCTTAAAATGCCTTACTGACTGTTTTCAATATAACCCTGTGTAAATTCTGCGAATTAAATGATTACTTAGGATCTACTGATATACATTTGATACAACAAAATTCAAAAAATTTTTCTGCAGACCGGATGTAAATTACAAAATTGTTTTCTTTCATACAAATTTTTTAAAAAATAGGTTAAACACATACTGTCTGCAAAAGAATAATTGGGAAAATAACGCTCAAATTTAAATGAAGATCTGTAAAAACTCATTTTAAAAAATCAAAAAATATTTTACTCCCAATTGCTGATTTACTGACAGTTAAGGATTTCCAAAAATCCTTGAATTGACAAGCAGCAAATTTCAGCATCTATGAAATAGAATCTAAAGGTATTGAACTGCCTGTTAACCGACAGGTTAATTTTTCCTCAGTCAAAATTTTTAATTGAATGTTAATAAATATAAAAATTAAAGAAATCTAATATGGAATTTAATTTTCCAATATTTTTAGCTTATGACAGACAGTACATCTTTAAGAGAAACCACAAGCTGTATGCCGGTATTACAAATATAAATGCAATATTTTTATTTACGTTGGCAACACTTTGATTAAAATACAAAACATTAACTGTAAGTACAGTTTTCATTCCCAATGCCCAACCCCAAAATTTTCTAAAACCATTTTTGAGAAACTGCTAACATAAATGGTGAAAAGATTATGATCAATTTACCACTGTCCTCCACCATCATATCTATCACCATACCCACCCCCGTAACCACTTCTGCCGCCGCCGCCATATCTGTTACCACCACCATAGTCGCGCGATCCACCGTAGCCACCGCCTCCACCATAGCCACGGTCGTACCCTCCTCTACTTCCTCCTCTTCCACCACCATAACCACCTCCTCCTCCTCTTCGTCCTAAAAAATAAAAATGTTCATTAAGTCACTTATAAATGAAATTATGTACACCACAGAAGTTATTTTCATCAGCCACAGTAGAACCCCTCAATTACGTACGGCACGGGGCCAGAGCCGTTCGTAATTGTGGGTATTCGTATGATCGGTGTTGACCCAAATTATTATATATTTGCACTGGTACTTCTTACACTGGCATAAACTAGGCCTAGGCTAGGCCAACAGGACTACGTAGCTAAATCTGAGGGGGCCTGGGCCTATAGTAGGCAGTTTCTAAGCATTTTGATCCCACTCTAGGCCCCAGACAAATTTGTTTTTAATCGGACGTTTTTACCTTCTTAAATACTTAGATTGTGGATTTTACTCCAACATAACTTCCATAGATACTTGTTTATTATATTTATTGATCATTCAATAAAACAATCAATCACTATGTTGACTTTTAAAGCTGAAAACAATGATTAAAAGAGAAGCAAAATTTGTCGCATACACAAGTGTGAAGCCATAATAAACACCAAATATGAAGAGGCCAATTAGAGGGCCTCCTTCACTTGAGAATTACACAGTATAGTATGTTGTATGCATGATAATAACAGTTACAATTGGAGCAGATTTTTTTTATTTTTTATTTTTCACTCGCCCACGATGGAATATCACTCGCCAAATTTTTATTAACACTCGCATTGGCGAGCGCTAGTTTTGCACCCTAAAATTGCATGGGTAATCTTCCTCTGTATGCAAGTAACACTTTTTAGACTAGGCATTAACAAATATTACAAGAAACGCACAAAATATAGGGAAATTTTGTATGACGTCATCACCTTGATTTTACATTCGTAAAATCGGGAATTTGTTAAATCAGGGTTCGAAATTAAGGGTTTCTACTGCAACTCAAATTTTCATAAATTATAATGTGTTCATAACAAAGAGTACAAATTATATTTATATACGCTAATTTACACGTTCAGGCATCGTCTCTATTTTACGTTCATAAAATCATGAATTCATGATATCAGGGTTTGTAATAGAGTGGTACATTACTGCCTCAATTACTTTAACACAAGCCAGAACTCGTGCTAATTTCAGTTAAATCCCTCATTAATGTGGGAAGTTCACAAGCTTACCTTGACCTGGTTTTGTTGCGGTTTGCACTCTTAACTGAAAGTAAAAAAAAAGTTCATGATCTAGATTTATCAGAACTAGTTATTTAAATTAGTGTTTGATTTGTATTAATTTTGACAAATAATTTCTTAACCAAGACACTGCAGTAATGCGGTTTGTTTACGAAGGCAGAACATGTGCTCAGATGTAAACGGCTGAATGGGTTTGAGATTGGGACGGGTTTTGAACTGAACACTGTATTTGTTTTATCATTTTATATATTATATAATACAGTTAAACTTGCCTAAGTCAAATCCAA